CACGAATTGCTAACCTGCAAAGACGCGTAGAGCGTTGTGCCGAACACCTTCATTACGAATTCAATCACTCTCCATCGCCTGTTTGTATAGCAAGTATACTCAATTGCAGGCTTCAGGTCATTTTATGGGAACTACCTAACGAAGCGGAAGTCTTGAGATTCGACACCTCAAGAGATGCAAGTCTTCCGGCTAGGAAAAACTTCACCAGGAGATATTCAAGTCTGGCGGCTTAGCATTTGACATTACCGTTTTCTAAGATCTACAAGTACGAGATTTTATCTTCCTGGGGTGTTAACAATTGTCCCTGTTTTGTAATAAGATGCTCGCACATCATGTACCGGTTGCTTCCAAGCCACTGGCATCCATTCGGCTCCGTAGACTACTTTCGATCCGCTGGTTACTCTCGCGCGAAGAACAAGCTGACTTTCGTCCCGGTCGAGGATGTGTAGACCAGTGTCCCCTTCCTGAATATTCCAAATGCATTTGACTCGGTCGATCGGGCCTGCTTTATGACAACATTTGCCAAGAAATGGAGTCCTCGAAAAGTACGCCGTCATTATTCGGGTGAGGGTCTATGACAAGCTTTTCACACCCTTTGCTATCACTAGTGGTGTGGGACAGCAGTGCCCATTATCGCTATTACTGTTGATAGCTCTGAAAGGCTCGCATAACGTTGGTGTTGAGCTTTTCCTGGTAATCGGGTGACCGAGATTACGCTGATATCGCTCTGCCTGGCGACGATTCGAAGAATGAACAGTACATTTTGAACCATTTGGCGATTAAAGCGTCTCTTACATTGCTTTCCTCGTTTGAAGTGTGGAGTGCTACTCCAGGACTGGGAGTCATCTTCCATCTCACTATTAAAGGAACAGCTATAGCTAGTGAACGCCTCTGTCTACATCGAGATGTATTTCTGCTGACGGTACTATTGTGAAGCAGGTCTCTATTTGCATCGCCAAAGCCAGGTCAGTATTTACCAATCCGTCTGTGGCGTAGTTGAAACATAGCCCTTTTCTTAGAGGGAAAGGGCAACAACGCTTGTGTCCGAGCGGTCCCGTTGCACGATAGTGTCCTGGCCGATTCGTGTGGACGACATGCGGATAGAAGCTCATGTGTGTTGGCAGCACCAGGTTCCCAACAATGTCCAGCGTCGTGTTTTAGGAGACTTGAGCCTTCCATTTATTCGCTTTGTTGCAGTGCGTCAACTGAAGGGGATTGGAACGTCTTATGCATGTTATGCGAGCGCTTACAACATCATCATCAACAGCAGTACATCAGCCATTTGAACTGATGCTTCGCTGCCATACAACCATGAGGACCTATGAAATAAAGAATAAGAGAGAGAGAAGGACTTACCTGAAAACCTTAATGCCCTAAGCAAACATTTAGGGTCAAGGCGCCTACACCTTGTGTAGACAACACACCGTCACAAACAGCTGCCTATCGTGCAAAAATAAGGTGGCATCGGCGAGACAGCTTCCTTGCGGCTTTCACTGTCACGCGTCATAATCAGCCATTACCCCGCAGATAACTCAGCACCAAACACACTTTAAACAGGCAATCCGATTAGGAGACGGCAGCAGACGCTCCACTGGTGTCTACTGCGACCCATGTCCTGTAAAGTCTCGAGCCAAGCACAAGGTGAGTCACGTAAACTCCAGCCCGGAAGGCGAGACGGACCAACGGTACCCAGTTTGGTCGTCCGTGTCTCAATTTTCCGTTGCCAAGTCAACTCTCCACCTCGGGCCTTGGGCCACCCTACACTTGGCAGACTGAACAAGGTCCTCCTAGGTAAGCGGTGACCAGGCATACGTAGCACGTGCCCGAGCCAACGCAACTTATTCAGTGCTATCTGTTGTTCTAGGGAGCTAACATGATTATCACTACCTATTACTCGCTTACGCACATCATCGTTGCGGACATGCTGGTGTCATCCGACTCTAGCAATGTTTCGCAGACAACGATGATCAGACTTGAAGGCGCCTCAGCTCTTCAGACCGAAGGGGCCAAGTTTCACTACCATACAGCAGAACGGCCCTCACTGTGGCCTTGTATACCCGGCCTTTCAGACGGATGGAAACTCCCTTCTGCCACCAAAGATGCCGCAGGTTCAAGAAGGCAGCTCTGGCTTTTGCAATGCGTGAGCTCACGTCAGTTTCTATGCGCCCATCATTGCTGACGCAGCTGCCAAGATAAGTGAAATGATCAACCACCTCGAGTTCCTCGTTAGCAAGCGTCAAGGGGTCATCAAGTGGCTGGTGGTCCCGCAACAACACTGCACTTTTAAGGTGCGAAATGCATACCAAATAATGGGACCACTCTGGACAGGCTATTCAGGGTTGATTGTGCCGCCCCAACATCGTGGAAAAGCAAGACGATATCGTCCGCATAAGCTAGATCAACTAACCTTTCACCAGGCAGCACTTCAACGTCTACATTGTGAGATTCCGCAAGGAAACACTCCATGATAGAATCCACGACGAAATTGAACAAAAACGAGGAAATCGGACAACCCTGACGATCGCTACTTGTGGTCGGAAAGCTATCCGATAGGACACCGTAAACCCTGACGCGGCCTGTAGTGTTCGAGTATAGAGCACGAAGGATGTTCACATATTTCGTGTGAACACCTTTCGAACAAAATCGATCGATCGACTGAATCAAACGCACTCTTGTAATCAAAGAACACAGCTATTGTTGGTCTGCGGTATGCGTGGCGCTGCTTTAGCACCTGCCGCAAAGTGCGCTTACAATGTCGTATCTTATATGCCGGCACAGGATTGAATTGGAAGAGAACGCGTGGACGTTAGCCAACAACTTGGCGGAAAAGCAGGAAATCGCTGACCTGTCTCGCCAACATCGGCCCTGTACGTCTTCCTGGTTGGGGGCTCAAGGGTTCGACGCACCTGATATGGTGTGAAACCGGAATCAATGAAAGGGCTGTACACGCAAATGTTTGAACAATGCGATTTGAGCTATAGCAGTCAAAAATGACAAAAAAATGCAAAATGGCGGTCCAACAAAACTTGTAAACAAAAGTAAACGCATCTTTAGTTATCATCCTCAACGACCTGCGAGTTATCCACAGCATTTAGAACCTTGCAAATACACTCAACACAGCTGCAGCTATTGTTCAGTTCTTGCTCACGGCAGAGAAATGCCAAGTCGATCCGGAGGGTCATTTACAGTACTGTATTCGTACCAAAAAGTGTTGAAGGCGCACTCCCAATTTCCACCAAGGACGTCGAAACCCATCCCAGGACATAGCAAAAAATACAAAAGCTTGAGAACACTGCTTCAGGGATGCAACGTAAATCCAGTGGGACAGGAATAATAGGAGAATCTCGCGAATGTTGTAATTTAATAGCCTTGCTGACCCAGAACAGTTATGAGTTAATTAAGTTGTCATTTGAGTGTCAGATCGGCACGCGCGCACCCCACAATGGTCAACCCATAAAAGTTTACGCGCCCACCATTAATTGCTCGCACTGTCGGTCACTTGGAGTAGAAACAAAACGCACTGGAAGGAAGTGAAAGCGAACTGGAGGAAAAATAAACAAACTAATCTAAGCATTAAAAATGAAGTGGTTAAATCGGCATTAGAAGTTGTAACAGTTATAAAGAGGAAGGATTGTAGCTACAGCTAGTCGACGTCCGAACTCTTACTGCGGGTCCTAACGTCTTCGGTTAATAGATTCCAAGCGGTATTTGGTCTGTGATAACCAGTTGTCGGGCCTAACCCGATCAGACTGATGTTGGCGCAGCTGCTTTGGATGACTACGAAGGGTCTGCAATTATGTCGAGTGAAAAAAGATAAGTCGGCGCAGTCTACATGCGATAAGTGAGGATCAGGTCCCCCTTCAGATTCAGATGGACTGGAACGACAGGAAAGTCCCTTGAGTGCTCCTTCTTGAGCGGATCTTTGAGCCAGGAAATGATAAGGTGCTAGGTCTTGATAGATCTAAAACGAAACACCCGAAAAACATCCTGGTAAACCAATTACTGCCCACGTTCCATGCACTAGCAGTCCCCGCTGTGTAGGCCAAGTGAAGTAAGAAGTAAAGTAAATAGAAGATAAAGGGGAATGAGCCATTTAAATGAAGGATAACACCAAAGAGTAAAGAGAATGACTGATTACACTTTCTGGAAGCGAGTTCCAGCGCTCGACAACTCTACGCGATTACCGTTTCCGCCTTGATCCGGTCGGAACGCAGCTTGTGCAGCTTCATGGGAGGACCGCAAAGACAAGGCAACTTAGCTGGGCTAAATAGCCAGCTCAAGTCCGGTCCAACGTTCCCTGTTAAAATGCGGATTAGGTCACCTCGAAGCCGTCGGTAGTGAATTGCATACATACCCAAGCTGTAGACGCTGGGGGTACGATTGCCCCCGTAACCCCACGACCAATTTGGTACCTACTCTCAAAACCCCCCTTACGCAGTCGACAGCGCGGCGAAAATATCTACAATCTCCGCTGTCACTCGGGATAGGGTATGTGTCTTAACCCATACTCTTAGTGCCGAAGCTCAGGACCCGATCCACTACCATTCTAACATAGATTAAGCAGAGTACAAGCTTGCTCGCAGTAATCCTGATGAAGGCCGTGGACAGTCTAACATTTCACCTGTCACAATTCCGGATGACCGGCTAATCATCCACAGCATTCTGAATAGTTTTCAGACGGCCCATGTCCAGCTTTTAGTAGACTTGAAAATTGAGTGCGGCCACCAAGTCAGCCTGCTGTCACACGCAGGACTGCTTCCGCCTAAAAGCAACTCGTAAGTGGACATCCAATCCTAATACGCAAAGTTAGGCTTAGTGAGATTTATCCGCAGTGATTACTCGCAATGATTACAATGGTTCGCAGTTACTAAGAGACGCACTAGCCCCAGCTTGTCGTACACACTGACCGCCGTCAATGGACTACAAAACCGGTGCCCACATAAATACGATGGTCCCAGCCGGATTACGATAGAATAAAAGCGGTGTCAACAAGCACTTACTCTCTGCATCGGGAAGTACAATCTTCTCAGCCGGAGTCACATGCTGCAGCCCAGATTTGTCGAACTTGTCGATGTCCTCCAGCACAGCCTTCGCGTCACATGCAGCGCTCATCTCGTCGAAGATTGCGAATGTACGTACGACCGGGGATATATAGTAGTGAGCTATTAAAACAAGCAAGGCTGCTGCTTATCAACTAAAAAATAAACGCAAGCATTTTAAAGTCTTATCATGTGTTGTTTGTTAGTGTGGTCTTTATTTAGTTAAATAAAACTGCATAGAAAGGATGGCTATGGTCAGTTTTCTCGTTCGCAGTCGGTAACTCGATTTCTTGGAGTGCCATATTGATCGAGATTTTTAGCTGAAATAACGTGGAAAACAGTGTTTGAATAAACACTTGGAACGGTTTGACTAGTGTCAAATTTCCTCTGATCCAAGATATCTTGGATCGACTGAAGTGGTATTGGTCAAAGCGTCTTCCTGACTCTTACTGGTAATTTTGCGGTTGTTCCCTTTTTAATCCCGTGTTACACCCTGTTTTGCCCTTTTATTGTGGTCGTTTTACGGTTATATACGAGTTTTTAATATCTAGTCTGTTTTCCACTTCAACATGGTCGTCTCGCGAAAAACCGAGGCGAATGAACACCTTGCGTCTTCGTTTGATGAGTCAAATGCAGCTTGCAAAAATTCTGCCTGTTCAAGGCCAGTGACGGATTCATCCGGTGGTATGCAGTGTGATGTTTGCTTTTGCTGGTATCACAAAACTTGTACCGGCCTCCGAGCAAATCAGTACAACATGCTATCATCCAGTGAAAGTCTTCTGTTTAGGTGTGCTGATTGTTGCGCTCAGAAAGCGAAGCTCCCGGCTTTCACCTGTGCTGAGTTCAAAGCACTAGCATCCAGATTCACAGTTGTTGAGAAGGCATTAGCCGAGCTTGCCTCTCTTGCCTTGCTCAACTCTAAAGTGGATTTGATTATGAAATCCCTGAATATCGGGAATGTGGACGCTGTAACGGACCGGCCTTCTGCTGACAGTTTAACCGTTGACGAGGCGTTCATCCTACCGGACGCTCCAGTTCATGTGAATATAACTGACACAGATGCCTCGGACGGCACTGTTGACCCGCCTCAAATAGAAGGCGGGTTACGGGCTCCTGAACCGTTGAAGAATAAGCGTAAGAGGGCAAAGAAAACTCGCAAACCCCCTGCCCCCAAACTGGAAGGTGATAAAGTGCTCAAGAAACAGGCGCCTGTGTTGGAAACACCACCTGGTGTTGCATTTCCCTCAGTGAGACCTGAGGTGCCGTCGCCTTCAGTCCAGCCGATTTCTGTCAAACAACCGTGTGGCGTGAATGGTAGAGTATGCGGTGTAAATACACCTCGTCGAGGCGATTCTTACACAGATAGCAGTGTGATTTTCAGAAACGTCGCTGCCGCTCTTCCCACCGATCGCATGCTTCATGATCTTGGTTGGCTTAATGTTTGCGTGACCAGGCTTTTAGCACTAGGTTTTCCTAGCGTTACCGTCTGGAAGCTCATCACATTGGGGAACTTTCCGGTTGGTCAACCAAATCCTCGACCCCGACTGCTTAGGGTGGTCCTCTCCACCCCAGAAGAGCGCAGTGCCTTACTGAGATTTGCCTTCAAGCTCAAAGGTACCACAGTTAATGTGCAACCAGATCTTCCGTTAGCGGCTAGGTTAAATTAAATGAAGCCATCAGAGACCTAAAAGCCCGGCGTGCAGCTGGCGAGCAAGGTCTCCGATTGGTGGGTTTTCAGGTGGTCAGCCGGCGGTCATTTTCCGCCCTGCAAGAACATATACTACTTGCGCACGACCCAGGGCTGGCCGTGCCGAAACCCTCCAGGTAGTACTTAGTAACATGCATAGCCTGAGGAACAAGATGTGCGAGGTGGGTCTGCTCGTAGACAAATCTCGTCCAGATATACTTGCTTTCACTGAAACGTGGCTGTCTGAGGAAATCACAGATGGCGAAGTATATCTGCCTGGCTATGCACTGTTCCGCGCTGACCGCTCCATTGGCCGTCAAGGGGGTGGTGTAGTTCTTTATGTGAGTTAGCACATCGACATACTGAGGACCAGCATTTTTCAGTCTCTCGACAAATCCGTTGAGGTACTCGCAGTATTGCTTTGCTCTTCCTCGGTTCAGGTTACGGTCGTGTTAGTGTATAGAAGCCCTATGAGCACCTCAAATGGAATCATAGAGTTTATACGCACTCACTCTGCGAACAAGTGTCTGGTGCTGGGAGACTTCAACCTCCCAAAGATCTGTTGGGATGATCTATCTTGCAGTTCTGCGCTGGGATCGTTCCATACAGAACTGCTGGCCTTAACGTTGCAGGTACCACGACATCAGTTCGTGGACCTCCCCACTAGGCACATGAATTATCAGCAGCCGTCCATTTTAGATCTTGTTTTTGCTAAGTTACTTGACTTTGTAAATGACATTAAATACGACTCGCCTCTTGGCGCTAGCGATCACGTTTGCTTGTCTTTCCAGTGTACCCTTATCAGGCCTTGCCAAGCTACTGCCAGTTGGTATCCGAACATTCGGGCCGCAGACTTCCAAGCGATGCGGGATAGAGCTAGGTCATCGCCTTGTGTGATATCTGAGACCGACACTGTTCACATAGCCTGGGAAAAGCTTAAGGCTCACCTCGTCGACATTTCTGCACCACACGTCCCATTGGTAAAAAGAAGGGACTCGAGAGCGCAGCCACCGCGGATAGATTCCGCGGGGAAGGGTCTGCTAAAGGAGCGGTCTAGACGCTGGCAAGCTTACCGAACAGCTCCGTCGAACCGCACCTTTGACAAGTATCGGTTAGCTCGAAATGAGTGCAAGCTACATCATAGGTTGGCCCGGCTTCAGTATGGAATGGGCTTAGCTAATACTGCTTCGAAAAGTTCCAAGTGATTCTTCGCTTACGTTAAACGACGCTGTGGTGCAAACTCGCCCATTCCACCATTGCTTTGAGGAGATGGGACCCATGCCTATAGCGACTATGACAAGGCATGCGTGCTTGGTAAGCAGTACTCAAGCGTCTTTGTCCGCGAGACAAATACGCCATGTAAAGAGTTAGCTCCAAGAGTCCCTAAAGACTGTTGTATGGATGAACTTCCTGTAACGGAGTCCCAAATTCTCCGGTTGGTAAAAGAGGTGAACCCAACTAAGGCTTCTGGGTCAGATGCTGTTCATCCAAAAGTGTTGCAGCAATTGGCAGGGGAACTCAGTGGACCTCTGACTTCTGTGTTTCAGAAGTCACTCAACAGCTGTGTTTTACCTACTGAATGGAAGGAGGCTGTTGTCTGTCTGATTTTCAAGTGCGATGACAAAGACCCACCGGTTTACTACAGACCTGTGAGCTTGACCAGCGTGGTCGTTAAGTTACTTGAAAAAGTAGTACGCGATACAGTGGAGAACCATTTAAATAGATTTAACCTGCTTAGCGTCGAGCAACCTGGTTTTCGCAAAGGATTTTCCTGTCAGACGAACTTGCTGGTAGCTCGCGAGTTCTGGGCTGAAGCCGTAGACAGTGGACATGCGGTGGATGTGGTGTTCATTGACTTCGCCAAGGCCTTTGACACTGTCCCCCATTCGCGACTCTCATTGAAGTTGAGGTCGTATGGAATAGCTGGTCGCGCTCTCCAGTGAGTGTAAGCTTTTCTGGCTGGACAAGAACAGTGTATTCGTGTGGGAAGCAGTCTTTCATTTCGACAGGCTGTACTTAGCGGCGTTCCGCGAGGCTCTGTCCTAGGCCCGCTGCTGTTCTCAGTCTACGTGAATGACTTGCCGGAGGAGCTTGAGGTACAATCGCTTTTGTTTGCAGATGACCTAAAGCTCTGGAATATTGTTGATATCCCTGGAGGTCCTATGGCTTTTCAACGGGCTCTAGATAGACACTGGGAATGGTCTGTCTTGTGGTTGCTGCCTATAAACCGGGCAAAATGTTCAGTGCTGCGTATCGAAGCGTCTGATTCCTCCACAAGTTATGTGCTCGATGGGACTGTACTTCCTCACGTGATTCATCAGGTTGATCTAGGTGCCGTCCACTGTTCCACATTACACTCTGGAGACAACTGGAAGGCGGCTATTAAAGGGTTCCGGATGTTGTGTTTTATCCGTCGTTCTTTTGGGACCCTAACCGCTGAGGTGTTTGTGAAGCTCTTCTCAGCGTTTGTGCGACCCCACCTAGAATATTGCGTCCAGGACTGTCCACTACGCCTTGTCCGGGACAAAATGGCACCAGAAAGGGTATGGCGTGTCGGTACTAGGTTGGTCAAGGGATTACGAGTGCAAACGTACCCCGAACGCCTACTTAGTTTGGGGATGCAGTCAATGCACCATCGAAGAATTAGAGGGGACCTAATCCTAACCTACTGTATTTTGACTGGGAAGGTTGGCCCTGATTTGTCCATGCTATTTAGTCTTGCTAGATTATCTGGTCTCCGCGGGCATTGTATGAAGCTGGACAAACCGCGGTCCGATCGAGTTCGAGCGGAGACACGGTTATCGCGTCGAGTCATCGAGCGCTGGAACCTGCTTCCAGAAAATGTTGTCAAGGAAGCTACGGTTAAGGGGTTTGAGCGTCAACTAGATGTTCTGGGGTGGCAACACGTAACCTTTCCGTTTTCCTGACGATTTCCCATCTTCATACTTTGATTCTATTTTCTTTACTTTTCCTCGTCATTGGTATTATTCTCTTCTTTTAACTGATTTCCCCCACTCCCTTACCTTTGATTCTTGCTCTCTTACTTACTTCACGTAACTGACATAGCTGGGACAGCTAATGTAAGGAACGTGGGCATTACATTGGTGGACCAGGGTGTTGGTTGGGTGTTTTCGTTTTAGACCCAGCAAGAAGTAGGAGCACCCCTATCCACTCCTGGATCGATGACCCGCTCAAGAAGGAACACTTACGGGATGCATCCCATCTTTCCAGTCCCACTTGAACTTGAACTTGTGATCCGAAGGGACTTGGAAGTGCCAAGATACACGGAATCTCTTGTGTGTCTCCCTTTTTCACGGCGTGGTTGTCGTGCTTCACCACTTGTGTTTTCCTCCTAGAAAGATTTTGTGGAAACAGTGTGGAAGAACTGATGAGGAAGTTTGACGTTGTCAGTTTCTTGTTGTTCAAGCGGGCTTGGA